CCTTGGTTGAGGGAAGGAGGTCCTCACCCAAGATTTGACGGTACATTGCCCCGTCCATCCTCCCTTTGATGCGGTGAAGTTGTCCTGTCCCGTTAGCAGAAAAACACCCCCAAAGCATAATGTGTCCACCTCCATGTTTGACGGTGGGGATGGTGTTCTTTGGGTCATCGGCAGCATTCCTCCTCCTCCAAACACGGCGAGTTGAGTTGATGCCAAAGAGCTCGATTTTGGTCTCATCTGACCACAACACTTTCACCCAGTTCTCCTCTGAATCATTCAGATGTTCATTGGCAAACTTCAGACGGGCCTGTATATGTGCTTTCTTGAGCAGGGGGACCTTGCGGGCGCTGCAGGATTTCTGTCCTTCACGGTGTAGTGTGTTACCAATTGTTTTCTTGGTGACTATGGTCCCAGCTGCCTTGAGATCATTGACAAGATCCTCCCGTGTAGTTCTGGGCTGATTCCTCACCGTTCTCATGATAATTTCAACTCCACGAGGTGAGATTGACAGTTATTTTGTGTTTCTTCCATTTGCGAATAATCGCACCAACTGTTGTCACCTTCTCACCAAGCTGCTTGGCGATGGTCTTGTAGCCCATTCCAGCCTTGTGTAGGTCTACAATCTTGTCCCTGACATCCTTGGAGAGCTCTTTGGTCTTAGCCATGGTGGAGAGTTTGGAATCTGATTGATTGATTGCTTCTGTGGACAGGTGTCTTTTATACAGGTAACAAGTTGAGATTAGGAGCACTCCCTTTAAGAGTGTGCTCCTAATCTCAGCTCGTTACCTGTATAAAAGACACCTGGGAGCCAGAAATCTTTCTGATTGAGAGGGGGTCAAATACTTATTTCCCTCATTAAAATGCAAATCAATTTATAACATTTTTGACATGCGTTTTTCTGGATTTTTTTGTTGTTATTCTGTCTCTCACTGTTCAAATAAAACTACCATTACAATTATAGACTGATCATGTCTTTGTCAGTGGGAAAACGTACAAAATCAGCAGGGGATCAAATACTTTTTTCCCTCACTGTAGCTTAGTGACTTTTACTCAGTTCAAAACATACTGTAGCTGCTTAGGGTGAGAAGCATAAACAGTACATCAATGCTAGATTATTTTCACCTTGTGCAAATAGTTGGCGATTTAGAGTATTAGTGATATTGATTGTAATCAGTGTGGGCGGTAACGTTACGTAATCCGATTACTTTCAAATTGGGTAATATTACTTTGTCAAACAACGTGTGCGTTACTTTCAGAATCATATCTCTACCGGGCGCGTTTCCATGATCCGATCTCAACTTGCTTCCTCCTTTAGTTCTGAGCAAGCAGGGAAAGGCTGTTTAGACAAATGTCATGACAGCAGCTTTCCATAGAAATGTATAGAAGTCGCACCTCTGATCTTTGCCATTGATGCTTCTGTGATAGCTAAGCCCATAGAGGTCTTTCCCGTCTAGTGGCAAGTGTGCACTCTATACATCTCTAGAACTGGCAGCTCGAGAGAAAGATTTTAAATGAAAAGATAGGAAATCTGTACAGATTTTTGACTTACAGTATATATATATGGCTAATTAAGCAACCCAAATGATAGCGCAGTACTTGTATACAGTGAGGGAAAAAAGTATTTGATCCCCTGCTGATTTTGTACGTTTACCCACTGACAAAGAAATTATCAGTCTATAATTTTAATGGTAGGTTTATTTGAACAGTGAGAGACAGAATAACAACAAAAGAATCCAGAAAAACTCATGTCAAAAATGCTATAAATTGATTAGCATTTTAATGAGGGAAATAAGTATTTGACCCCTCTGCAAAACATGACTTAGTACTTGGTGGCAAAACCCTTGTTGGCAATCACAGAGGTCAGACGTTTCTTGTAGTTGGCCACCAGGTTTGCACACATCTCAGGAGGGATTTTGTCCCACTCCTCTTTGCAGATCTTCTCCAAGTCATTAAGGTTTCGAGGCTGACGTTTGGCAACTCGAACCTTCAGCTCCCTCCACAGATTTTCTATGGGATTAAGGTCTGGAGACTGGCTAGGCCACTCCAGGACCTTAATGTGCTTCTTCTTGAGCCACTCCTTTGTTGCCTTGGCCGTGTGTTTTGGGTCATTGTCATGCTGGAATACCCATCCACGACCCATTTTCAATGCCCTGGCTGAGGGAAGGAGGTTCTCACCCAAGATTTGACGGTACATGGCCTCGTCCATCGTCCCTTTGATGCAGTGAAGTTGTCCTGTCCCCTTAGCAGAAAAACACCCCCAAATCATAATGTTTCCACCTCCATGTTTGACGGCGGGGATGTTGTTCTTGGGGTCATAGGCAGCATTCTTCCTCCTACAAACACGGCGAGTTGAGTTGATGCCAAAGAGCTCGATTTTGGTCTCATCTAACCACAACACTTTCACCCAGTTCTCCTCTGAATCATTCAGATGTTCATTGGCAAACTTCAGACGGGCATGTATATGTGCTTTCTTGAGCAGGGGGACCTTGCGGTCGCTTTAGGATTTCAGTCTTTCACGGCGTAGTGTGTTACCAATTGTTTTTTTGGTGACTATGGTCCCAGCTGCCTTGAAATCATTGACAAGATCCTCCCGTGTAGTTCTGGGCTGATTCCTCACCGTTCTCATGATCATTGCAACTCCACGAGGTGAGATCTTGCATGGAGCCCCAGGCCGAGGGAGATTGACAGTTCTTTGTGTTTCTTCCATTTGCGAATAATCACAACAACTGTTGTCACCTTCTCACCAAGCTGCTTGGCGATGGTCTTGTAGCCCATTCCAGCCTTGTGTAGGTCTACAATCTTTTCCCTGACATCCTTGGAGAGCTCTTTGGTCTTGGCCATGGTGGAGAGTTTGGAATCTGATTGATTGATTGCTTCTGTGGACAGGTGTCTTTTATACAAGTAACAAACTGAGATTAGGAGCACTCCCTTTAAGAGTGTGCTCCTAATCTCAGCTCATTACCTGTATAAAAGACACCTGGGAGCCAGAAATCTTTCTGATTGAGAGGGGTTCAAATACTTATTTCCCTCATTAAAATGCAAATCAATTCATACAATTTTTGACATGTGTTTTTCTGGATTTTTTTGTTGTTATTCTGTCTCTCACTGTTCAAATAAACCTACCATTAAAATTATAGACTGATCATGTCTTTGTCAGTGGGCAAACATACAAAATCAGCAGGGGATCAAATACTTTTTTCCCTCACTGTACTAGCACAGAAAAGCAGCTCCACAGATGAAACTAATACAGGCACCCAAAATGAGTACCGGCACCTATTTCAGTCCAAGTCAAACACTGATAACTAGTAAGATAACGCGTTATTTTCCACACAAAGTAATATTGTAATATAACGCGTCAAGTAACTAATCCCAACACTGATTATAATATTGTTAATATACAGAGCATGTATCAATGTTGGGAGCCACTAAACACTAAACTATGTCACCACGGCCTGTTCACCCACTATCATCCAGAAGGCGAGGTCAGTACAGGTTCATCAAAGCTGGGACTGAGAGACTGAAAAACTGCTTTTATCTCAAGGCCATCTGACTGTTAAATAGCCATCACTAGCCGGCCTCCACCCAGTACCCTGCCCTGAACTTAGTCACTGTCACTAGCTGGCTACCACCCGGTTACTCAACCCTGCACCTTAGAGGCTGCTGCTCTATGTACAGTACATAGACATGGAATCACTGGTCACTTTAATAATGGAACACTGGTCACTTTAACAATGTTTACATACTGTTTTACTCCTTTCATATGTATATACTGTATTCTACTGTATTCTAGTCAATGCCAGTCTGACATTGCTCTACCTAATATTTATATATTTCTTAATTCCATTATTTTACTTTTAGATTTGTGTGTATTGTTGTGAATTGTTAGATACTACTGCACTGCACAGCTAGGAACACAAGCATTTCGCTACACCCGCAATAACATCTGCTAAATATGTATGCACGTATGACTGTAAGTCGCTTTGGATAAAAGCGTCTGCTAAATGGCATATTATTATTATTATTATTATTATTATTATTATTATTATGTGTAATGCGACCAATAAAATTAGATTTGATTTGATTTATGTGAGTACACATAGCCATGGCATGATGACATTCTGATGAGGCAGTCCATTTATAGATCAGAGCACTCCTAGACAGCTAGAGTAATAACGCCATAACGTCTGCCCTATAGACTGGACTGTGATACAGCCTCCTGTACAGTCACAGTGGTATAGGGTGTCTAAAGTGGCACAGGCCTGCTAAATGTGTCCAACGGGTAACAACTTATTTACTTCATATTAGTGGATCCAGTACAGAATGGCTCCTGCCTGCATTCTGTACAAGTATTTCTGGTGTGACAGGGAGGGACAGTGTGAGAGAGCTACATAACTTTGAAGGGTGTGAATGTGAACGCTTGACTCTGCTCCATTGGCAGTTTATAATGGGCGTATTTAAAATCAGAGGACATTCCTTCCATTTCTCACAACCTCGATAAACGTTTTACATATTTAGATTGTAATGCATCACACGTCCAAAATGGATCCCAGACAGTTGTTATGTGCGGTTAAAACAGGAGTTATATTCACAAAAATATGTCCTGTAAACAAATCCCTAAACCCTTCTGACCTCAGGATATCATCAGATTTATGGAATAATAACCCAGTGACTCATCTTACCCTCCTGCAGCCCTCTCAGTTGGGGGAAGGTTTGTTATGGTTTGTTGTGGTACTGGACCCCCCTCTCTACCTTCTCCTTCCTACTGGAGGACTAGTGATGATGGGGGAGCTCAGTCATATTGTGTTGTTACGGTTGCTTCTTGGTTGTTGAGTTGTTAATGGTTATGGTCGATATCTTCAGTGATTTTATGACTACATACAGTAGGTAAAGTTTCTCATCTCTCTGAGAATGAGGTAGCTGAATGAAGTTGTGGTAGTATTCAGTTTGTTTGTATGGAGCGTGTAACATGACTGACTCTCTCTTTTCTCTCTCTCTCTCAGGGTGAAGAAGTTGAGGGAGACGCTGGTTGCAGTGCAGCAGCTGGATAAGAACATGTGCAGTCTGCGCTCCTGGCTCGCCCACATCGAGACAGAGCTGTCCAGACCCCTCGTCTACGACACTTGTGACGCGCAGGAGATACAGAGGAAACTCAACCAGCAGCAGGTAGGAGGAACACACACACTCGCTCTGTTTGTCTGGGAAAGAGACAGACAGACAGGCAAGGCTAGCTACACGATCAGATCATGTGGGTTGATTTATTTCCTAAAGTACGTGGTAAACATCTGAACAACTGGTGATGATGCAACAGGGTAGAAAGTCATCGCCCAAGTGATGCCTTTATGTTATTTCAAGAGTGTTTTTTTTCTGTTCTATCTGTTCCTGTCCTCACCCCTCCAATTCTACCCACTCTTCATCCTTTGACCTTTCTCCACCCATCCTCATCTTCTCTCTCTTCCTCCCCCTTTCTCCACCCCCAGGACATTCAGCGGGACATAGAGAAGCACAGTACAGGCGTGGCGTCTGTGTTGAACCTGTGTGAGGTGCTGCTGCATGACTGTGACGCCTGTTCTACGGAGACAGAGTGTGACTCCATCCAGCAGGCCACCAGGGGCCTGGACCGACGCTGGAGGAACATCTGTGCCATGTCCATGGAAAGGAGGCTCAAGTGGGTCCTATACACATACAGTACAGTGCACGCACGCACGCACGCGCACACACACACACACACACACACACACACACACATATATATATATATATATATATATATATATATATATATATATATATATACATACACACACACACACACACTGTGCATATGTATAAGAACTCTATGTTCTACTCTTGCAAACCTCCAGTGTGTCTATGGTTGCAAAGCTACCGGTAATTTACCAAAGTTACCAGAATCTTCTGTAATTTTGGTAATTAACAGGTAATCTATGGCAATCTATGGTAATTTTTGTAATTTATACATATAATCTGAAGTACCCACAGATGTCATCTAATAACATTCCATATATTCCTTGAAAGTTACCAAAAGTCTGGTAGTTTACTGGTAAACTTAAAAAAGTTTCCAATAGTATACCCTCCCCTTGCAACCCCAAGTTTGTCTCATACCTCACTCTCTCGTCTTCTTGTAGGATTGAGGAGACGTGGAGGCTGTGGCAGAAGTTTCTAGATGACTTCTCTCGGTTTGAGGAGTGGCTGAAGACCTCAGAGAGGACGGCAGCTCTTCCCAACTCCTCTGGAGTTCTATACACCATCGCCAAGGAGGAGCTCAAGAAGTTTGAGGTACAGATTAGAGAGCGGTTGTGGTCAGAGAAATAGGGAGGAAAGGAGGGGAAGATTTTAAAGAGTCGTAAAGACAGGGTAGGAAGAGAGACAGAGTGATAAAGTAAGAATGAGAGAGAGTGTGTGTACAGTGCAAAGTGAGGGGGGTAGGGGGCATATGGGATAAAGAGAGAGCAGAGTAAGTGAGAGAGTGCAGAGTAAGAGAAGGGGGGAGATCAGATTACTGGAACCTGTCTTTGCTGGTCAGCACATTATTCCTACAGTAGCTGGCCAGGGCCAATGGGGTCATGTGCCAGGGTCATCCCAGGATTCAAAACAGATCGAGACCTGTCCTTTCAAGGACAGTCTCGCAAAAATAAGCATTCTTGCGTTCTAACTACACGCTATTCAAAGTGCTCTGAACAAATTAAGGGAATCGTTCACAAACATTGGCACATTCTAAAATCCGATGACGGTATTGGTAATGTGTTTTCAGACCCTCCCTTGGTTGTATTCTCGCAGGGCAGAAATCTCAGAGATCAATTGGTAAACTCTGATTTACCACCCCTAAATATCCCTGCACAACGTCTATTTGCGCCTCTACCGGATGGAAACTACAAGTGTAACGGCTGCGCTCAATGCAATGGCACTTACAAATGTAGATCCTTCAAACAACCCCAAACAGGGAAACAGATCCCAATCAAAGGTGTTATTACGTGTTCTACTAAGGCAGTTATTTATCTTATAACTTGTCCTTGTGGTAAAAATTATGTGGGTAAAACAAAGCGCGAATTAAAAGTACGAATCTCGGAGCGTCGTAGCACCATTAGGTGCAAAAACTCGACATACCCAGTCGCTGCCCACTTTTTGGAAGCGAACCACTCGATTTCTTCCCTACGTTATATCGGCATCGAACAGGTCACTCTCCCTAGGAGAGGGGGTGACCTCGACAACTTATTGTTAAAACGAGAGGCTGCCTGGATCTTTAATTTAAAGACCCTTGCTCCCTTCGGTCTCAACGTAGACTTTGATTTGAAGCCATTCTTGTGATTTTGCTATTCATTGTAAATGTTGTGGGCCTATGTAGCCAAGTATCTATGATCATATGCTATCCATGTTTTTTGTATGTTGTATTTATCTGTGAATTGGCCAATGCTATTACAGACACCTGCGTGTGTCCTTTGACACTATATAAACTAGTGACATTATACCCTGATGAAGACAGCTTGTCTGTCGAAACGTTGGTTATTAGGATATTAAATGATTGCATCTGAGCTCCCAGAGTGTGCGGCTTTCCTTTTCTTTTTCAAGTGTTTTACGCCGTCAGCCAGCACCTCGCCTAAATAGGTGTGCGTTTCTTTCGCCTTTACCTCATCCCAGGATACCACACGCTTACTTGAAACCATTGTTTGGTCAAAATAATCAACCAAATACACGTATTGAGACCACCACCCTTACATTTACTTTGTATTTTATTGTGTATGTGTACAGTATTTGTATAAAATCCTCATTCTGATTGTGTCTGACCCAGGCCTTCCAGAGGCAGGTCCAGGAGTGTCTGACCCAGCTGGAGCTGATCAATAAGCAGTACCGCCGACTGGCCAGAGAGAACCGCACAGACTCCTCCTGCCGCCTCAGAGAAATGGTGCATGACGGGAACCGGCGCTGGGACAACCTGCAGAAGAGGGTGGCCTCCATCCTGCGCAGGCTCAAGGTATGCTGGGAAATGTGATGTTGTCATATGTTATGAAACATGGTGATTATATAGCAGAGCCTGGCCAGGTCAAGATTTATCACACCATTATTTTGTGAATATAAAAAAGTAGAAACTCACAAATACTCCTTGCTTAGTTTCACTCTGATCAGGGTCAGAACATTGTTGTCTCCATAACCAATAAAGACTATAAGGTGTGTAACTAAACACAGTTTTAATCAAGTTATTAAAAAGCCCTATAACACTGTTTTAATGTAGTTAATAAACAGCCCTATAACACTGGTTTAATCTAGTTATTAAACAGCCCTATAACACTGTTTTAGTCTAGTTATTAAACAGCCTATAACACTGTTTTTAGATCTAGTTATTAAACAGCCCTATAACACTGTTTTAATCAGTTATTAAACAGCCTATAACACGTTTTAATCTATTATTAAACAGCCTATAACACTGTTTTAATCTAGTTATTAAACAGCCCTATGACACGTTAAGTTTTAACACCTCTCATCTGTTTTCTGTTTACGCTCCACTGAACAATTTGGTAGAGGCTAGTTATTAGAAGACCTATAGACACTTTATCCTAGTTAGCACCTATACAATGTTTAATCTAGTTATTACACAGACATAAACACTTTTTAATCAGTGTACGTAAACAGGCCTAGATAACATGTTAAGTAGAAACCATGGAGGTGATGGGGGAGTTTTAGGATCTAGGTGTTCATAATACATGCTAGTACACGTTGTTAACAATCTATGGTATGTCAAACACCTGGATAACCATAACCATGTTTGTATGTAGTTGAATACCAGCCCTTACCACTGTTCAATCCGTCATAACCACAACCTGTTCTCTAATCTATTAATAAGTCGCCACCAAACCCCTGTTTGTAGATACTAGTTTACCCCTATACTGCGTTTTATCTACGTTTTAACAGACCATCGTGTGTTGAATTTAATCTAGTATTAAACACCCTATAACATGTTTTAATCTAGTTATTAAACGACCTATAACACTGTTTAATCTAGTTATTAAACAGCCCTATAACAATGTTTTAATCTATTATTAGAGACTATAACACTGTTTAATCTAGTTATTAACCGCCCTATGACACTGTTTAACTAGATAAAGCCCTAGAAGTTTTTAATCTAGTATTACAGCCCTAACACTGTTTAATCTAGTTATTAAACCCCCTATAACACTGTTAATCTAGTATAAACAGCCTTAACCACTGTTTTAATCGTTTAACAGCCCTATAACCTGTGTGTGTATCAGGTATTAACACCCTTAACACTGGTTTAATCTATATTAAACAGGCCCTAATACACTGGTTTTAATCTAGGTTATTAAAAGCCCTATACACTGTTTTAATCTAGTATTAAACAGAGCCCTATAACATGTTTAATCTAGGTTATTAACAGCCCTATACACTGTTAATACAAGTTAGTAAACGCCCTAGACACTGTTTTAATGTCTTGTTCAGAAAACAGCACCTACACACTGTTTTAATCTAGTTATTAACAGCCCTATAACACTGTTTTATCTGTTATTAACAGCCCATAACTGTTTTGCAACTATTATAAACAGCTATAACCATGTTTTAATCTAGTTATTAAAAAACTCACACACTATAACACTGTTTAGATCTAGTTATTAAACAGCCCTATAACACTGGTTAATCTGTTATAAACAGCCCTATAACACTGTTTTAATCAGTTATTAAACAGCCCTTAACACTGGGTTTTAATCTAGTTATTAACAGCCCTATAACACTGTTTAATCTAGTTATTAAACGCCCTATAACCTGTTTTAATCTAGTTATTAAACAGCCATAACACTGTTTTAATCTAGTTATTTAAAAAGCCCTATAACCTGTTTTAATCTAGTTATTAAACAGCCCTATAACACTGTTTTAATCTAGTTATTAAACCCGCCTATAACACTGTTTTAAATCTAGTTATTAAACAGCCCTATAACACTGTTTTAAAACTAGTTTTAAACAGCCCCAAACACTGTTTTAATCTAGTTATTAAACAGCCCTATAACACTGTTTTTAATCTAGTTATTAAACAGCCCTATAACACTGTTTTAATCTAGTTATTTAAAAAGCCCTATAACATGTTTTAATCTAGGTTATTAAACAGCCCTATCACTGTTTTAATCTAGTTATTAAACAGCCCTATAACACTGTTTTAATCTAGTTATTAAACAGCCCTATAACACTGTTTTAATCTAGTTATTAAACAGCCCTATAACACTGTTTTAATCTAGTTATTAAACAGCCCTATAACACTGTTTTAATCTAGTTATTAAACAGCCTATAACAACGTTTCCCTTCTGTTTGTTTTTCTCTCAGCCTTTATTGGTTTAAAGGAGGAGTTTGAACAGCTAGAGACAGCATCCTGTTTTGCTCACTGAGATGGACCCACAGCTCCAACATAGAAAAACTCCTCAGGTGTGACTCCAGGCCAGATCAAAAAGCTAAGGGGAAGAACCATGGAGGTGCTAGGGAGGAGGCTCATAATAATGGTAGGAACGGAAAAAAATGGAATGGCATCAACACTTGAAACCCATGAACCATGTGTTTGTGTGTTTGATACCCTTCCACTTTATTCCATCCAGTCAACCAAAAAACCCGTTCTCCCAATTTAAAGGTGCCACCAACCTCGTGGTAAAAAACAGTGGTCCCGTGTGTGCGTGTTTACGTGCGTCCCGTGCGTGCGCGCATGTGTGTGTGAATTTGAATGCTATATTTTAAATGCTTTTGAGTTTGAATGAACTCTCTATGACGGCTTGGCAATTTAACTATCTGACTTAGTATCATCCTGTGCTGTATGTAACTAGTATCCTCCCTTGACTGATTTAACTAGCATCACAAATAGAGATAACAGCATTTCCCCTAACATTACTTGATTGCAGTGCCCCGCCTTGGAAACACATACTGAAACATCTAACCCCTGACCTTTCCCCTCTCTCTGTGTGTGTTCAGGCGTTCCAGCAGGAGATCTCTCTGAACACAGGGCAAATTGAGCTGGTGTTCAGGCAGGGGGAGGCTCTGATAGAGAAGAGTGAGCCTCTGGATGGTGCTGTTCTAGAGGAGGAACTGGAGGAGCTGCAGAGGTACTGGCAGGAGGTGTTTGGACGTGTCGACAGATACTACAAGAAGCTCACACGCCTGCCTGTGAGTAATGTCTTCTGTGTACAGAACACACACACACACACAATACAAGAAGCTCACGCATCTGCCTGTGACGTAAGCGATATGGGCCATTTGCCAATATGATATAACTGTCATAACCTCGTACTCACACCTAGCACATGCCATACAAACACACACACTCACTCCCCCTCTCCCTTCCTTCAGCTTGCCGATGATGAACTAGACTGCTCTGACCGAGAACTGGACATGGACGAGTCGGCTGATCTCTCTGACCTGCAGTGGGGTGACTCCTCTCTTCCCTGCCCCTCCAGTCGCCCCACCTCGGGCTCTGTCCTCCCCCCACGGGCGGACCGCTCGGGCCGGGACACCCCAGCCAGCATGGACTCTATCCCCCTGGAGTGGGACCACGACTACGACCTGAGCCGGGGGCTGGGGTCAGACAGGGGCAGAGGACAGGAGGAGGAGTACCTCAGGACGGCTGCCACTGTGTTGTCAGGTTAGTATAATACTACTACAGACTGCTGCTGTATTTTATTGATAAGTATTTAATTGATCCCCAAGGGGAATTCACTGTTATACAAACTCACAGACACAACACAAATAATAACAAGGATACACTGCAAGAAGTTCTCCCCTCAAAATGATAGTTTACTTAGGGTATTTATAGCATTTAAAAAGCCCATTAATCTACACCAGCATTAAATAGATTACCAGTACTCAAAAATGTGAAAATGAATAAAAGTAATAGGACGATAAAATGCATACACTTAAACCTATACACTCCATACTTGTCCAATGACCCTTGTTCTAATTGTGAGGACTGTGCATCTCTCTCTTTGCAGATGTAGTTATACCAGAAAGCCCAGAGGCCTATATAAAACTGACAGAGAGCACATTGAGATCCTCCTCTGGTAGGCAACTAGCCACACTAGCATGCTAACGTGCTTAAGCACAAATACCATATAATTTACCATAACATGCTAATGTGCTTAAGCACAAATACCATATAATTTACCATAGCATGCTAACAAAGTATGATGAGCGAACATGGCATGCATAAGTCCTAAGGCACATTTATCATCGCATGTCAATAACATATCACAAAATTATACTAACATGCCCGTTCAACTGCGGTAGATTAACATAGCATGCATCATTCACCATTGTTGCATGCACCATCATCATTCAAGTGAAATAAGCATGTACACAGTATACCATACCATATAAGAATGTATACACCATAGCATGCTAAAGCACTTTTACATTCACCTTTGTTGGTATCACTCCACGCAAGTGATCACATAAACCACGTCATTTTCCTTCTTTGTGTGCAGTTTTTCAACAAAGGAATTGCACTGACTAACATTTAATATTGCTATTTTTTTTGCATTATGAGTATGTTGTCCAGGTGGACGTGTTTGCTGGTATCCACCACTACTGTGTCAAAATGAAATTGTAGACTGGGCCAAAAGAAAAGAGAATTCTCTCTCCTCATTGGCTGACCCCCCTCCTGACTCCACAGGTGAGCCAGGTCAGCTGGAGGCCCACCTAAGACAGTTGGGAGAGGCCGCTACCTGCAGTGGCCAGGCCAGCACCAGCCCTGAGCTGGACTCAACCTACATGGGCTATGTGAGTGCTTTCTCTCCTAGAGAATCTCCTAGTAATAGTATGGCTAAAACTGTCATAAAAATACAGAAAAACCCTAATGTCATCTGTCATAGCATGATAACAGACTATGTTGTCTGTCTGTAGATGCGTCTGATGGGAGAGTGTCGGGGCAGTATAGATGCAGTGAAGAGGGCTGGAGGGGAGCTGACTGAGGAGGATGATGACATGCCAGGACTCAACAACCCCACCAGCACAGACAGCCAGAGTGCAGGTTGCTGACACACACGCACACACACACACTCGCTTATTATAATCAATAATGAGTGATGAGTCAACAAACTGTTACTTCTCTCCCCCAGGTGTGATTGAGCGCTGGGAGCTGATCCAGGCTCAGTCACTGAGTGACAAACACAGACAGAAGCAGAACCTACAGCAGTGGCACCAGCTGATCTCAGACCTGCAGACCATGAGGGCGTGGCTGGGCCAGGCAGAGGCAGAGCTGGGACAGCTACGGGAGCTGGACCTCAGCACAGACATACACACCATCCAACAGAGGATCAGGAAGCTCAAGGTGTGTGTGCGTGTGCATGTGTGTGTGTGCATCTTAGGTATACCATTTTCATGTGTGTGCCACATGATACCCATGATCTCTATGATTTTCCATGCCCATGTGCAGTGTAATCACGAGCCTGCTGGTCTAGTGCCCAGGCAGAGACCTATACAGTACACACACTACCCATCTGCTGTAGTCTGTAACACATCAGACCATCTGCTGTAGTCTGTAACACATCAGACCATCTGCTGTAGTCTCTAACACATCAGACCATCTGCTGTAGTCTTTAACACATCAGACCATCTGCTGTAGTCTGTAACACATCAGACCATCTGCTGTAGTCTTTAACACATCAGGCCATCTGCTGTAGTCTGTAACACATCAGAACGCCCATCTGCTGTAGTCTGTAACATATCAGACCATCTGCTGTAGTCTCTAACACATCAGACCATCTGCTGTAGTCTCTAACACATCAGACCATCTGCTGTAGTCTGTAACACATCAGACCGCCCATCTGCTGTAGTCTGTAACACATCAGACCGCCCATCTGCTGTAGTCTGTAACACATCAGACTGCCCATCTGCTGTAGTCTGTAACACATCAGACCGCCCATCTGCTGTAGTCTGTAACACATCAGACCGCCCATCTGCTGTAGTCTGTAACACATCAGACTGCCCATCTGCTGTAGTCTGTAACACATCAGACAGGGACGTCAACAGACTATAAATACCCAGGCAGGTCTGAACCCTGGTGGGGTTCACTAACCTACATCTAGCCTACTGACACCTACTGCTACTGCTCCTGAACTAGCTCTGCTCTGTCATCACCAAGCCTATTTATAACCACTGTAAACCAGTACTGGGTGGTATGGGTCAGTCTACCTACAGGACTTCCCCCTTAAAACACCATTATGCTGATAGTGTTACACATACTGTATATGCACGTGGCATACATTCCCATACCGTCCAACACGTAACATAACATATAACACAAATGCTTACAAACAAACAACCAAACAAACATACACATAGTCACTAATTTATCCTCTCCCCTCTTCCAGGAGCTGCAGAAGGCCATGGACGGCCACAAGTCCCAGGTCCTGTCAATCAACCTGAGCAGCGCTGACTTCCACCAATCAGAGCCCGACTCAGAGGAGGCGTGGGAGCTGAGGGACGGGCTGAAGGAGATGAACTCACGCTGGGATTGGCTGGGCTCATCGCTGGAGGACTGGAGGGCGGAGCTACAGAGGGCCCTGATGCAGTGTCAGGTACAACAAACACTTACATGTAAACGTACACAGTACACATTGTGGACATTCATCCAATAAAATGAACCTGTGTTATTCTGTCTGAACGTGCCCCACACGCAATATGTGTTTGTGACATGTTACAGATAAACATAACAACATCTGTCATTTCAACCCCTCTCTCTCTCTCTCTCTCGCTCTCTCTCTCTCTCTCTCTCTCTCTCTCTCTCTCTCTCTCTCTCTCTCTCTCCTCTCTCTCTCTCTCTCTCTCTCTCTCTCTCTCACTCTCTCTCTCTCTATATATATATATATATATATATATATATATATATATAGGAGTTCCATGAGCTGAGCCACGGTCTGCTGTTGTGGTTGGAGAACATCGACCGCAGGAGGAATGAGGTTGTCCCCATCCCCCCCAGGCTCGACCATGAAACACTACGGGCTCACCACAGAACACTCACGGTACTTTCCACTTCAATACACACAAATTGTAGGCAACACTCCAAATCTGTTTATCCTCTCAAAATACCAATATCCTAAAGGGTTGTAGCCTAGCCCAAATAAATTATATTAACAACTACCCCTCTAACCTCCTGCCCCATTTGCCTCCAGCAAATTAAGCGTGAGCTGCTGGACTCCCAGCAGAAGGCTTCCTCCCTCCAAGAGCTCTCAGCCCAGCTGCTGGTCCACACCCAGGCCACAACCCAAATCCAGGTTTCAGAGCAGGCCCAGAACCAGGCCCATGGTAGTGAGCGTCTGGAGGCCCAGGAGAAGGTGCATGTGATCGGGAACAGGCTGCGGCTGCTCCTTCGGGAGGTCAGCGCTGACCTGGAGGGCCTGGAGAAGAGACTGGAGACCATGGACACACAACAGGTCAGAGAAGAATACACATAAGACCTACAGCCATATCACATACATTTATAGTGTGGGCTTTTTAGTGCAACGATTATGACAATCACTTGAGGATCTCCAGGTAACTAGTTAGTAGCAGGTAATGAAATAGTGAAATGCACCCTGTGTGTCCGGATGAGCAACTAGAGAAAAATAAAGACCATTCGTCAGACTGACCATCTGTCTTTGTCCACAATATTTGTAGGACTCGCTGCCTTTGTCTCCTGTGGACAAATCTGACATCTCTGGATCCACCAGCCCCGTCTCAGAGGGGACCTCGACGAGTCGCCGGCGATCGGTAATGTCTCTTTTTGTACCTATCTAGGATGTATCACTTCATAGAGTCCTTTTTACTGGGGGCTGTTATGTGTATAGAAAGTAATTGGTGTGGGTTATACTGGTTAGAGAAATAGCAAGTCACCCTGACCGATTTATAGAGTGAGCTCCCAAATGTTATTCTTAACCCAAAATGTCACCCCCTTTCCCTCTCCCAATGCATGCTGACCCCACAGAACAACTCTCTATCCCAGCTTCTACCCCGCAGCCACCCACCAGCCCTTTCTGTTTTCATTCAGTTAATTAAGGCAATTCATTGACGTTGCGTTTTACCCTTTGTTTGTAGATTGCTTTATAGCTGCCCTGCTAACATGAAGCTACACCACTTAGGAATATGTTGCCCCACAAGCTGTTGTTCTTTGAGATGGTTTTTGCTACCTTCACCATGTAGCGTAACCAAAAATGCACAAGAAACACTGACTTTTCACTATCTGCTGCTTTTTAGAGGAGAATTGTAGTGTCCGCAAGTAGCGTAATTGCAACTAATTATAAACGTCAATGCTTCTAGTCATTACAGGCCACTGTAACACCACTATAACATCATCATCATTTATTAATAAAATCCTGAAGCATTACTAATCATTGGCAACAAATAAACATTTTAAATGAACAGGATATTGTCTAGCCACCTATAGATGCCAATATACAGTATGTTTGATGAACAATATTAATTATTGTAATTCCTAAGAAATCCAATGTGAAAAGCCAGATTTCTTGATACTCCTATCACCGTGATGTTCTATTGATGTTACTGCTCTTTCTGTTATTTGTTGGTTGATTTTTTTTCTCTCATCTGAAGCTTGGTGTTTATTTGCTCCGGACTGAAGCATTCTTTCTTTCTTTTACCCCCATCCTGCTCATTGCGTGGTACAGCCCCGGGGCAAAAGTAGTCATGCCCACCCAGGACCCCCCGAGAGCGGCCCACATCACAGGTACCTCTCTCCTGGACTCTAGAACCATGGGAGGATGATGGAACCATGACTGCATACCTTTTACCTGTACAAATTATTAACCAATCAGTCAATCAGTCAAATAAATTATACTCTATGCCCCTAGTAACTGGTCCATTACCTTTTAGTTGACATACTCATAATAACACGGTTAGGAAACTGGATAGGAAACCGAACCTAAACCAGTTCCTTAAGGCAGAAGTTGTGATAGGTCCTCTTCTGCCTCTCTCATCTGTTGAGAAATGATGCGTCCTCTTTACCCCTCCAAACTTCCCATATGAGTTCCATGATCTTCCTTCCTTCTAGAAGCGACGTAACCAAGCCAGCTGTTAAAAGAGTCTGGAATCACCTAGTTCAGGGGATTCCTTTCTTCCTTTATTAAATGAAAGTGGAATGTTTTCTGTTCTTTCATTGCTCTCTGCTGCTGTGCTGTGCTGTCTGAATGATGCTGCCAAGCGCTTGTCTGTCATCTTTTTACTGCTCACCTATCTGACACCACTAATCCCTGCAGTTATTTCTCACCCACTAGATGGCATTATCCGAATATACAGTATCTGTTTTGTCCCCCTCTTCCTTGCTGACTCACTTTGCCTTCTTAGTCACTTGCCCTCCCTCTATTCCTCTCTTTCTCTTAATATCAAACTAGCTATCTCCTGTAATGAAATGTCTCAATCTCTTCTTGCTTTCTCTCTCTCCTTTATCCCCCTCTCAGCCCCTCACTAATAACCCACCTCTGTCCTGCTCTCTTTCTTCTTTTGAGTCTTCACTCCGTGCTTTCTATTAAATGTATCCTAATAATGGCATGTAGGCCAGGTTGAAGCCTGGCCCTAAATTAGCTCAGGGATGAGTGGTCGAGAAAAGGTAATGAGGCTCTGTTGGGGCTGATGGGCTCCATTGTATGAACAGGCCTGGGCTCTGCTAGCTCCCTCTTACTCACTAATTGGCTTCGGAAATTGAAATCTAGCATATGAGGTTGCCATGGAGATCAGGGGGTTCTTTGCGGCCCCAAACTGTGGATCTCCTGAGTAACGCCTGCTGAGGTAGAACACACACATGCGCACATCACAATGCTCTCACCATTCATTTCAACTATTTAACGAGAGATAGAGACATGTGTGGAAGGCTAGGGAGTGAAGGTGTGGAGTGGCTGCAGACAGACAGACTGCTAACAGCTTCCTCCCCCAGACCACCAGGCAGCCCTGTGAGGATGAGGCCAGGTGGAGGAACACAGCGTTCCTCTCTCCTCTTGGCTCCCTCTCTGGGAGTCTCTGGAGGGGTCTCTGGCACAGCGGTCTCTGCTCGGAATGAGACGTGGCATTGAACTCTCATACAGTCGGCTGTAAGGCCAGGGTTTCTCTCTCAGTGAGAAAAACAAGACTCAGACAGCTAGGAGGGATTTTACTTCAGGTTCCCTGTGTATAGGAGAGATGTCAGGATTATGTGTGTAGAAATTGCTGCTTTGGTTTGTGCGTGAGTGTGTGTAACCTTTTCTCTGTAGTGTTTGAGTAACCTTGTGTGTGTGTGTGATTGGTGTGTTTACTCTGGTGTGTTGTTTGTTACGATATTAACCCTTTTCACGGTATCTTACCTCTATAATCTTTACTAATGTGTGCGTGTGTATGTGTGTTCCTGTCTAAAACCCTGTCCTGTGCTATTTCTGGTGTGTCTAATGCCGTTCTCTCTCTCCCTGCAGTCTGACCAGCTCTCTGAGCGGAAGTGGCTGCGCTTCCTCCCGTTCTGACTCCCCCCTGGTCCTCTCTTCCTCGTCCTCCTCCTCGTGCCCCCCAAGGGGCCAGTCCTTCATCCTGAGGGTCCTGAGGGCAGCTCTGCCCCTCCAGCTCCTCCTCCTTCTCCTGATTGGCTTAGCCTGCCTGGTGCCCATGACAGAGGAGGACTACAGCTGTCACCATGCCAACAATTTTGCCCGCTCCTTCCACCCCATGCTGCGCTACACCAACGGACCCCCACCCATATGAGGGTCATCACTTCCTGGTTCCAGAAAGACTTTCTCATCCATATGAATGTCACCTACTGCTGTACACCAGTGGACTCATACCCATAGAAGAGTACCTCCGGGGTTATATTAACACTCTCCCCCTCCCCGCAGGACTCCCTTCCTCTGCTACACAGTGATGACATTCACTCATTTTAGACTCTCTAACACCTAACAAACCCACCGACTAACAAAAGCATCCCTAGGCTACATGGCCTAAACAGCCTCTATATGAAACGTGTTGTTCAACACCCATCTACCAGATGAATGGACCTATACCTTGTGGATCCCCTTATATCCTAAAAGAATCTCTACTATTAGTTTCGTATTCTTTATAGTAAGCTGTATTTTATTTTTTACCGTTTCTGAGAAAATGTCTGAGTCTGAAGATGGAAGAAACACAGCACTACTTATGTGTTGGGAGCCAAAGTGGACTGTGCTGTGTGTCAGTGCTGCTGCTATTTATTTGTTACTCAATCAGCATTCGGTAGATGTTAGAATCAATTAAGCTAGGGTGCTGCCGGTGAAGTTTGAATAGCGAACATTCCCATTAGTCCTAGAGATCCTATAGAGGTAAAAGCTGAACCTAGAGCACTGACATGGGAGAACTACAGGGACGTGGCTGACCTGCAAACACATGTTGAAATACCTAATTGGTTATAGTTAGTTTAGGGTTAAGATTAGGGTTAACTTTAGGATTAGAGTTAGAGGTATGGGTTGGCATGCCAGTCACGTCCATCTAGTGGAACCCCACTGACATGAGCACTATTGAATGAAGGTACTGCACTGAAGCCGTCCACAAGATGACCGACGTCTTCCTCCTCGGGCCAAGACAAGTATTTAACGTCGATTTTATTTCAGTGTTTTAAAGCAAAACAATCGAGGCAACAAGAAGAAACCAGTAAACTCACTTGTAAGATTCAGGTGATTTGTACAGTGATGTTTGAAATGCCTTTGAATATGGCAGTTCTTTTTTTAGTTTTATTAGCATGCACTTGCTTTAAAAAAAAAAGCCAAACAATCACTGGTAGTGTTAAGTAGATGGATGTTATATAGTGTGCTTTGTAATAATAATGATGATGATGATCCTAACTGGATGGAGACATCTAAATCACTGGGCTATTGAAAAATGAAACTGTAAAAACTATGAAAAATGAAATGGTTATTTATGTATGTACAGTTTGCTAATGCTGACCTAATGAATAATACTCTCTCTTTGCATAATAAAATACAGTACATATTAAATATTCGTTTTTGTATTCCTTTGAGTTTGCGTTACTGAATTAACACAAATGCCAGACAGTAACTTAAATATAATAAATACAATATTTACAGTATTTATTAGTCTTTGTAAAATAATCACAAATGGGTTTATCCTCAATGTCTTTATTCACTGCAATGCATGGTACATGAACAAAAGTCACGCATTTACTGTACGTGTGGTGGGTGTAGACTACTGTTGAGTAGACTGATTAATCAGCAGTGGCACTCATAAGGGAGAACAAATGAATGAGCAATGCATTTGATCATCTCCAGATGTCTATCTCACACACACGTTATACAATTAGATTAAATTAACATCAATCTGTTCAAGTAAGCATAGAAATATCCACATAACAGCTACAGAAAAGGCTACTTGAGGCCAATATTTTACTTCTGTTTTTTAATCGTATACAATGTCCATAAAATATGAAATGTTGTCAATCAATTGAAATGCTGTGAAGAGTTCTGCACAATATATTATGAATATATTTACTCTAGAACAAAATGCAGTAATACATTAACAGAAATACATCACATTTTGTCATTTGTTTTTAATATCTTCAAACGCTTTTCTAGAACTGCTCAGAACATTCAAGCTTTCAGAAATGTTGGCTGCTTTTAAATTGATACATTTGAACAATTATATTTTCTAAACAAGGCACCTGATATCAGAATATTTGAATTTGTACCATAACCATAAACAAGTATACATTCAGTGTTCTGAATACATCCGTCTCAGAATAATATGACAAAAAGTCGTCAATGTTAAGCTACAAAAGGTATACAATGCCCAAATTTCCCTCAATTTAGAAGTGCACTTCGGTCAAGGCACAGCTTGTGTCCACACAGGGTATAATACACTGATCCACATAGACTAGCTGCTCTCTATCACGTGACTCTGCTGCTAACAGTGCGCCACACGATGGCTAAATACTTGGTGCAAAGCTGCACAATGGTGAAACTGTTGCTAAAGCCACAGAAAAGACAACTGACTCAAGAGTTACAAATGTTGTGAAAGGCAACGAAAATGTGTTTCTATTGGAGAAATGTAGGTACTAGTCCCTCCCCGTTTCATGTTGTTTGCTTCCTTTTGGTTCCTAGTGAATACACCCCTGGTGTGACTCAGTACATTTCAGTCCATTGTGTACCAGTACAAAACGTGAACACTTCTAAATGTTCAATAGATTGCTGCTAAATAATTTAAACTATCTATCAAATGAATCACTTCAGTTATAAACAAATAAGTAGTGAATATGCACATTAATACATTTATATTTTTTATCAATTTTCACCTCCATACATTTCAGTATCTCTCTACGCATACTGTATCTCACGGAATGGGCCTCCGGTCTGAGCGGGGGGCGCCATACTGGAGTACCCCCGAACCAGGGCTTCTGATGTGGGTATCCTGGCTGCCTCGCATTGGCCCTATGCTGGAGCCTGTGGAGGTGGTAGTGGTGGTAGAGGGGCCCTCGGTCTGTGCCCCAGCTTGGGCCACTTTGCCTGGGGATTTGAGCCGGTGACCATCCAGCATCTCCAGGAGCAGGTCATACAGAGGCACTTTGTTCTTACATTTTATGCTGTAAAGGTGCTCCATGCCTTTGTTGCTGCATAGAGAAGAGGAGAGGAGTGAGGAGGGATAACCATATAAATATAATCTATGGGAATAACCAAATAGGTGATGATAAAATGTAACTGGCGGCAGATAATATGAACTTTTCCTTTGCCTTGTGTAACCTGCCTCTTGACTTTCAGAATGTGAATTTATTCCATCAGGAGTGCGTGCCCCCTCGTGTAGTGTGCTGTGAACTCCTCATCTCGTGTCTGATGTGTGAGAAAAACCAGTCTCCTAACCACTCCCCTTATTCTCTTCCCCCCTCCATAGTGCTCCTCCCATACATAGTGTGCCCTCCTCCCCTACATAGTGTGCCCTCCTCCCCTACATAGTGTGCCCTCCTCCCCTACATAGTGTGCCCTCCCCTCACCTCATATGTCTGATGTGTGAGAGCAGGAGCAGGAGCTGGGCCTGCCGTCTGGGCTGCTGCTGCACAGAGGCTCCTGAATGGCTGATGTGGTGGATGAGGGCGTCAGTGATGTTGTCCAGCATGCTTTCCACTGCCGAGCTGTTGTGAAGGGACTCCACAGAGTTGGAACAGAAGGAGAAGGCACCTAGAGGAGATGGAGAGAGAGAGAGGAGAGGTTATTGTACCTAAAATAGATTTTGTAAGGGAAAAAATTAAAAAGAGACTGAGAGAAAGAGACAGAGGAAGGGGAAGAGACAGAGACAGAGGAAGGAGACAGAGGAAGGAGACAGGAAGGAGACAGAGGAAGGAGACAGAAGAAGGAGACAGAAGAAGGAGGCAGTGACAGAGGAAGGAGACAGAGGAAGGAGAAGAGCCTGACGTTCTCAATGCAGCAACCGCTAACTCAGCAATCAATAAGAACAACAGGTAGCCATACACAGAAACCTGCAACAGCACCCCTAGCTCAGGTATTTATGACTCTTACAGATTAGTCCGTCTCAAAACAAACACAGGAGTTTCTCTCAGTCAACACACATAGAACAGAGGGTACAGTTGGCATGGTAACAATTATGGGAAACATTGACAAAGAAGGACTTGGGATCCTTCTGTTCACAGCTAATGCCCTTGAGTGGTATATTGTGATCCACTGCTAAAAACAGAGTTCACCATTCAACATTTACTAATGGGGATTAGAATACATTAGTCACTACTCTATGTTCATAAACAGAAAAACACATGTCTTTGTATCACACACTTGTAATGTTGTCAATCCCACCCACGGCGGACCCAGGGTTGAACCCACATCACAACATCAAAACATACTAAGCAAAGCACCGTTAATAGCTTAGTAATAACACACAAACACAGTCACTCACCAGAGTTAAGCAAGATGATGGCTTTGAGGCACACAAACTCCTCAGGCGTTAGTTTGAGCATGCGGAAGCGAGACACAGTGGCCAGGAGCATGTCGAAGATCTCAGCCATGCCCTCCACACAGTCTCCTTCACTCCTGGAGATCAAAGGTCGGAATGAGACATATAAGTCAAGTACTGTGCAACTCTCCTGTGTTCAGGGGAAGAGCAATAATCATACCGTATTTCTGAAGAGCAGCCATTTAGAGTAACTTAACTCCAACAGCCTTCAAACCACTCCTGCACCATTTACTTATCATGTCAAATGGCTGTGGACACTCCAGTATCTAGCTCTGGGCCTGGTGTCAGAGGTAATGCTCTATAATAAAATGCAGATCAAATGGGAACATCACAGACATCAGAGAGAGACAGTAACAGTCCGTCTTCCTCTCTCTTTCTTTCATTTCTTCCTCACCCTCTTTCCCCTGGGTCTGCAGCGGCTCTGGGTAACTTGTTTACTTGGAACATGGTGGGGGGAAATGGAGGGAGCAGGCTGTGCGTGCAAAATATTCTCTCTCTCTCTGCCTCCCCTCTCTCTCTTTCCATCTCGCCATTTCTCTCTCTGTCTCCCCTCTCTCTCTTTCCATCTCTCTCTCTGTCTCCCCCCCCCCCCCCCCCCCCCTCTCTCTCACAGTGTCTCGCATGCTTTTTCCATCTCTCCCAAGAGTCACCACTTTTTTTAAATTTCACTCCTCTCTGCTAAGTTTAATGTGTAATGAGGGGGACATGTGCAGGTGAGACAGTGTGTTTTTCTCTCCAAGGGGAACATGATAATTAGACTCATTGTGACCTTTAGTAGAGATACACCGACAAGATACAAAGTGGAAATCTACAATGTTGATTTCTGTCTTATTCAATATATTTTGTGCGTTCGTGCGTGCGTGTACCCACCTGTCCAGTATGAGGTCCTGGGCGAAGATGAGTTTCCCAGGGCTGTGGATGGACCTCCATATGAGTCCGATCATCAGCACCTCCAGCCAGGAACTCTCCAGCAGCTGCACCTGGTCATGGAGAGACAGCTCCTGGAAACCTACCAGTACCAGAGACATGGTCACACTGTGGTCAAACCATATATAACCCTATCGACCATAGATTAACCACTAGTCCACTCAAATCCTTGCCTGGCTACCCAGACTCCTTGCTCTGGCCAAACTATAGGCCATGCCCACGGACATTAGTTTCTTCTCCGCAATGAGTCTGGATCTGAGTACCTCCCCGACCCTTCACCGAATGCGAACACATTCGGGGCCGTCTGATTCGTCCAGAAACCAATGGGTTGGGCCAGAGCCAGAACACGCTTGGGTAAAGCGACGGGTTGAAAATGTGTCATTGGCTTTGATACTCTAATTGGTTAGAGAGGACCCAATCGCTGATGACTTTGTTTTGTACAATGCCCCTCGTGCCCCTCGTGCCCCTCGTCACCACAAACAACTTCAATGATGGCAGTCAGACTAAGTACGGTATGTAGCGAACAACAGAGCAGCAAAAGAATTTAGTGTAAGTCTTCAGGCTAATATAAACCATACATTAACCACTAGTCGACTCAAATCCTTTGAGATGGCCACATGACTAGTCAAATTATCATTCAAAGGAAAGAAGGTCCCGCACACACTGCAATTGCAAAGTACTGAAAGTGATAGTTTCCTTTTAATAACATTTAGACATTTCAGTATAACAAAGACAGTATACCATAAAGATAGGCAGAAACTGCTTCTCCAATAGAAATCCCCAATCATACTTGTAGGCGATGTCATGGAGAAGTTGGCTAGCTAAGCTCATGTGCAGAAACACGTAATCTGTTCTAACGGTCGTCTCGCGCTGAACTACGCTTGTGCATGGCGTCAAATCAAAGGCACTTCTTCGATATAAAGTTGTTTTTGACAAAAATGTAAACGTTCCAGTTTGTCAGTTTCACGAGGTTGGAGTAATAACATGTTCATATACGTTAGATATTGGCTTGAAACCAGGTTGTGCCTTTAGATTTAGAGGAAAATTAACAACTAAGGAATAATTTTTCACTTCTCTCATTGACTTCTCAAACCTCAGCCTGGTCTGTTTGGTCTGTTTCGCAAGTGTTCCCGGAAGTCTTGCGATGTTGCGCCTCTGGGTTTAGAAACTCTGTGAGTATAATCTGTGATTGACTGGACCACTGTGGTTGAAGCATATCAATATGTATTTCGTCATGTGATACTTGTAGCTTTCCTTGCAGGGCTAAAAGAGAGCCTAATAAAATATAATAAAATCTAAATAAATCCTGATCTGAACTCATTAAGATAAATGCTAAGCATTAAACTTCTTACGACCTTGCCACACAACCATTGTGAATTGGCCAAACTGCAATCTCTGTTCTGGCCTTGCATGGGTCCTTATCACCACCACCGCTGTCCTAATACATATCCAATTACATCCCAATCACTTCCATTGTTCTTCTCTGTACCTGCCTAAAGACTACTGCAATTAAAACTGTGTGCTTTCAGGCTCTTAGTGACGCACACTGGAACAACATAATAACATCTGTGTTTACTTAGACAGCGTCGGGGGGAGGTGAGTTTGTGTGTGTGAGTGTGTTTGTGTGTATGTGTGTGATTGTGTGTGTATTTAGTTTATTTGGATCCCCATTTGCTGTACGTGGTCCCGTGTGGCTCAATTGGTTCAGCATGGTGCTTGTAACGCCAGGGTTGTGGGTCCGATTCCCACGGGGGACCAGTATGAAAAATTTATGCACTCACTACTGTAAGTTGCTCTAGATAAGAGCGTCTGCTAAAATACTGAAATGTAAAAATGTGTATAATCCGCAGCTATTCTTCCTGGGGTACATAATACACTACAAAATAAAACTAATTCAAGAGAATAGAACATAAACAACTACATTTGCTCCAAAACCAACTATTTAAAGAAAATGCAGGACGTTAAGGCAGTTTTGCCGTGAGGTGTTGCTTGATTTGTCTTTTAAGGCTCATCTTGCTGTTCGCTTGAGCAAGCTGCGATGGAAGAGTGTTCCATGCCACCACTTCTCTACACAGTACTGTTTGCTGCCCCAAACCCGTTCTGAACTTGGGGACCGTGAAGAGACCCCTGGTCGCATGTCGGGTATAGTATGGATGTATTTCAGCACTATATGTCAGTTGACTATACCAACATATTGGAGCTTACAGCACAATAGTATTTCTCATAAAAACAAGGGAGTGATGCAGTCAATCTCTCCTCTACTCTGAGCCAGGAAAGATTGACATGCATACTGTTGACATTGGCCCTCTGTGTGCATTGAAGACCAAAGCGTGCCACTCTGTTCTGGGCCAGCTGCAGCTTTCCTAGGTCCTTCTTTGCAACACCTGACCATATGACCGGGCAATAATCAAGATATGATAAAACTAGGGCTTGCAGGACTTGTTTGAGAGTGGTGTTAAAAATGCAGAGAATCTCTTTATCACAGACATACCTCTTCCCATCTTTACAACAATTGAACCAATATGCCTTGATCATGACAATTTACAATCCAGGGTGACACCAAGAACTTTAGTCTCCTCAACATGCTCAATAGCCACATCATTCATTACCAGATTCAGCTGAGGTCTAGAACTTAAGGAATGATTTGCACCAATTACAATGCTTTTAGTTTTAGAAATTACTAGCCACCCATTCTAAAACTGACTGAAAGTCTTTGTTTAGGGTTGCAGTGATTTCACTAGCTGTTGGTGCTGACGTGTATAATGTTGAATCATCTGCGTACATAGACACACAGGCTTTATTTGTGTGTGTGTGTGTCTAAGGTGCTGTGTATTTGTTCGCCTAAACGACCCTTTTTGAGGTGATGTCTGTCAACATAATGCCTGTAATGTCCCAGCGTGTGTGTGCATGGGCGCCTGACTATGTTTGATAGTGGGGGGGGGGGGGGAAGCTTGGGGGGGTTGCATTTGTTTTCCTACATTGTTTCTTAACAGGGGGAATCCATATTTATGAACAGAACACAACTATTTTTATTATATTGAAAAAGTGTTTTAATTACTAATCTCCTCCCTTCCCTGAAAATCCCAACCCCAATAATGAATTGACAGGTCTGAAACCCTACCAACTCTGTGACTCTCACAAATATCCTGCTCCTCCTCTAACAATCCCACCCACAGTAATCGATTGACAGGCCAAACTGTTAAGAATGTGGCCAGGATAACGCATGACAATGAGGAAAGGAAATCGAAAATGGGAGGAATAAAATATATTTTTTACCCAATAAGGATTTGAATTTGAACGTTGTACTTGGTAGGTTAAGACAAAGCATTGTTAAATTGCACATTAAGTTATCATCTTTTTTGTCAAAAATAATGCAATCACAATAATGTAGTACAATTACAAATGTGAAATTTTATTTATCTTTTAACAATTTTCTTTCTCAATATGGCAGTGTTATCTGGTAGGGCATTGAACAAGAACAGTCAACTTGAAAATGCAAACTGGAGTTTTACATTAAAATTTGGTCATTGATTATGTTCACATAAAAATAATATAGCAAAAGTCATTATCAAATTTGATTTTTTTTGGGCAGCTATATCCATAAATTGCAGCCCCGAATCTGCAATAGAAAGAATAAAATGTAGCTCCATTAATATGGGTCATTGTCACACCCTGATCTGTTTCACCTGTCTTGTGCTTGTCTCCACCCCCCACCAGGTGTCTCCCATTTCCCCCATTATCCCCTGTGTATTTATACCTGCGTTTTCTGTTTGTCTGTTGCCAGTTCGTCTTGTCTTGCCAAGTCTTACCAGCGTGTTTTCCCATTTCCAGTCTCTCTAGTTTCTGTTTTCTAGTCCTCCCGGTTCTGACCATTCTGCCTGCCCTGAGCCTGCCTGCCGTTCTGTCCCTTATTCACGCTGCCTTGGACTACGGACCTCTGCCTGCCCTTTGACCTGCCGTTTGCCTTCCCCGTCTTGTAATAAATATCTGAGATTCGAACTGTCCACCTCCTGTGTCTCCATCTGGGTCTTATCCTGAGTGGTGATTGGTCATATTTGAACAGTTGGGGCTAGAGCCAGGGTATCCAACCTTTTCTTTCATAAAGGCTACTTCATAGCCCCTAAAGAAATTGCGAGCTACTCATATACAGCCTGCATATTCTGTTATTGTTGAGGCCACATTTTATAAATAGAAACAAACAGCAATGCATACATAATGTCATTGCATTTTGGTTCTTAAAAATCACACATTTTGAACTAAAATCATTCTACTGGAGCCTACCTTGAGAATCTTTTTTAAATGGTCATTCTGTTTAATAGTGTCCTTTGGAACAACAACCACAGTGAGTAGGCTACATATTTGACAACAAATTGTAAAGAAACAGAATCGGGAGTAGCAGTGGTCGGGAGAGGTTGTGTTTTCTCTAGCAGGAGGTAAGCTTGGCTTCTTATATGGTGTTGAGTAAAGCTTAAACCATGTATTTAGATTGTAGGTAGGTAGTTGTAGTTAGGTATTGTAGGTAGTTTATTTAGGTAGTTATTTAGGTAGTTATTGTAGGTTTCTGTAGGTAATTATTGTAGGTAAGTATTGTTTACGGCGGAGCCCGGCGAAGCACGAGGCTAGCTAGCTAGCGGGTAGCTACTGGTAACGTTTAGCAACGGTGGAGAGTTGTTTCCAATGTTATTTCACGCTTAAGAGTACCTGTAATTAAGCCAGCCAGCTACCTACCATTCAGCCGTTTTTTCTAACCTCATTATCTGAGCCATCAACGTTAGGTAGTTAGTAGCTACTGTACTTAATTACACCTACTGATTGCAGAAGACAAATATCAGCTGGCGTCGGGTAAGTTTGGCTTTATACATAGCTTGGGCTTCGTCGAGTAAGGCTTAATTATGTATTTAGATTGTAGTTAGGTATTGTAGGTAGGCCCGCAGCACGAAGCTAGCTAGCTAGCCGTTTTTCAAACAAAGTCAACACAGTAGCCATTGCTAGCTAGCCAACACGACCAGCTAACTGTACTGTAGTAGCTAAATACAATATATTTGTGCTAGCTAGCCAACGTTAAATTTTTGCTGCGTTATGAAAGGAACTAGACACGGACACGAATTATCTGTTTAGTGTGTTAACACACTATTGGTAGTTTGTTGTAACCAAGTATTGGTGCTAAACTGTGTGTTATTGGATGCTAGTT